TCTATCTATCTATCTATCTATCTATCTATCTATCTATCTATCTATCTATCTATCTATCTATCTATCCATCCATCCATCCATCTATCTATCTATCTATCTATCTATCTATCTATCTATCTATCTATCTATCTATCTATCTATCTTTCCTTCTATCTTTTCCATCCTTGTGTCTGTCTATCTATCTATCTATCATTTATCCATCCATTTTACATTTGAAGAAATTGAGGCCCAGATAGGTTAGTGACTAGCACAGGGTCACATAGCTAGGAAGGGGCTTGAAGCATGATTTGACACCAGGCCTTCCTGACTGTAGATCCACAGCTCTAGCCATTGTACTCTGTACATTGTACTCTGCTGTTTCTTGAATTGAATATCTAAATTATTTCTTAAGAGGTTTTCCTCCTATTGGAGGGCCACACAATCGAGACTATCAATACTTGAGTACAGCACAATATCCAGAATTAGGGAGCTGACAAAGCAGATACTTCAGGGGTGATTATTTGCATCCCTGAAAGATTTTGCAGCTTTAAGCAAATTTCCTATAAATAGAAGCATCCCTTGTGAATTTCAGCATTTATAGACCTATTTATTGCTTGACAGAAAGAGTAGGGACAGAGCATCCAAATGGGGAATGAGCCACTGCTGACCGCTGATCAATCAGAAATTAAAGACCAATCATGTCCAACATTATCAGGCAATAGGGAAATGAAATAAAAATCACGGAAGCCTTTCTCTTGCATTTGTCAGGTATCATGATAAAAAGTTGTTGATAATACCTTCTTAACAGGAATAAAATGTTTGGCCCTGTGATTTCTTTGGAAAAGAGAACTCCCAGGCAAGAAAAATGTGTCCAGCAATGCAAGTCAGTATCTTCTCGGAATCTTGTTAGCTTAGAGAGTTATCTGGAAAACAGAGGCGAAATGACTTGGCCAGGGTTGTATAGCCATTATGGGTCAGAGGTGGTTCTTGAACTCAGGTCTTCCCAGTCACTTCTCTATCCACTATGTCAGGCTGTCTCTCTGTTTGATAAGTGCAGGTTAATGAATCAGGATCTGTTAGCTGCTTAGTGTTATTTTAATATTTAAATGAATATCCTATGTATCTTCCCATCATATTCTTTCTTCTTCTCTGCTACACTGGACATTTAAACTCACTACCACCCTTCCTTACTGCCTTAACTATTCAACTTCCTGTTTGGAGAGAGAAAGAGAAAAGAGAGAGGGATGGAGACAGAGACAAAGAGACAGAGACAGGCAGAGAGAGAGGAGGGGAGAGAGGGACAGACAGAGAGAGTGAGAGACAGAGAGAGAGAGAGAGGGAGAAATGGATAGATGGACAGATAGGGCATTGATGAAACACTTTCTATGTGCCAGGCGCTGTGCTAAGCATTGAGGATACAAATGTATGCAAGCAAGATAGTCCCTGCCCACAAGGAGCTGACATTTCAATGGGAAGAAGACGACACATAAAGGAGAGCTCTGAGGGAGAGGGCACATATGAGGAGGAGGACATGAAGTCTGGAAAGTGAGTCCAGAGAATCATGGCTAGGTCCCCACCAGATATAGTGTTTGGGGCAGATATTCACCAATTAGGAGAACAGAGCAGAAGGAATAGTTGCCAGCATGTTGGAAAATAGAATAGGAAATAGAACAATAGAAATGGTGACGAGAGGAACAAAGTCTGAATAAGATAACCCTTATAATTTCCCTGTAAAAAGAGAATGGTGTTGGGGCAGCTGGATGGCACAATGGATAGAGCATTGGCCCTGGAGTCAGGAGGATCTGAGTTCAAATCTGTCCTCAAACACATAACACTCACTAGCTGTGTGACTCTGGGCAAGTCACTTAACCCTAATTGCCTCACACACACACAAAAAATAATGGTGGCACATGTTTCAAGGTGCCTATTTATACTTGAGAAAGCTATTGAAAAAAAATATACCTTTCTGTTTCAAGCAAACATTGCTCATTTCTTGATCTCTTGCTTTGTTCTTAAAAAAAAATTTTGTTGATGGATTTTGTCTTTTTTACACCATCATAATTTCCCCCAGTGTCCCACTCCCCCACTCCCTCTCCTTCCCATATCCGGCCTATGTAACAAATGGTATGGTTAAGACCAGAAAGAAAGAAAGAAAAAGAAAAAAAGAACAGGAAGAATCAGCATAACTGATCAAGACATTGAAAAAGTCTGAAAAGATATACAATGTGAAACACTTGCATACCTGCTGGGGAGTGGCTTCTCATTGCTCTTTCAAGTCGTACTTGTTTTTTATTTTGCAACATTCACTTTTGATTTTTCTACTTGTTCTTTCCATTTACACTCTTGGAGTTATTGTATCCATTGTTATCTTGGCTTTACTTGCTTTACTTTGTATCAGTTCATGTAGATTTTTCACATTCATAATTTCTGACAGCACAGTAATATTCTATTACTTTCATATGTCACAGTTTGTTTAGCCATTTTTCAATTGATGGGCATCTACTTTGTTTCCAATTCTTTACTATCATAAAAAGTTCTTTTATCTGTTCATTAACCTCCTTGGGGGATATAAATCTAGTAATGGGTTAAAGGATATGGACAGTTTAGTCACTTTATTTGCATAATTCCAAATTGATTTACAGAATGGTTATACTGATTGACAGTTCCATCAACAATGTACTAATGTGCCTATCTTCCCATAACCCCTCCTACGTTGATTATTTTCATCTTTTGTCATCATTACCAATTTGCAGAGTGTGAAGTGAAACCAGGCTTCTTTTGATTTCCATTTCTCTTGCTATCTTCCTTCATTCTTAGTCCTTCTTTTAGCACATTCTTTAGAGTTGTGTTTCTAGAGCCTGGATCTAGGAATATGATGGAATTTAGAAGAGAGTCATGTATGATATGATGGTGACAGGGCATCTCTTTCACTTCAGTTCAGTTCTTCATGTAGTGAATGCTTACTGTGCCCAGTCCAGTGCTAAGTGAATAGGGGAATGGGAGAGAAACAGGAGAAATGGACCCTGCTTTCAGGTAACTTAACCATTTCTTTGAGAATGAAGACATAACTCCCATGGCAAGATAGACAAGAACATTTGATTAAATTCTTTAGGGAATAATGCCTTGGAATTCTATAATAATACAGAGAAGGCAAAGATCAATTTAAGCTAGAAGAGTAGGGAAAAGGAAAAAAAAACTTATGGAGTAAGTTGAGCTTTGAAGAGTAGCTAGGAGGTAGCTAAGTTGAGAGGAGGGAGAATTTATTTCACGTAATGGGAAGAATGTGGACAAAAGCCTGGAGATGGATAGTCAAAAAACTGGACTTTGAGGAGAGGCCTCCTATCACAGAATTGTAGGATGGATAGGTAGGTAAGGTGAGATTACGGACTTGGAATGCCATTTTGGAGAGTTAAAATTTAATTCTGAAAGTTTTGGGTAGGAGAGTAACAAGATCAGAATTGTGCATTAGGATGATTCATGGGCAACTTTGTATAGAATAGATTGGCAGAGGGTAGGGGAATGGGAGACTACACATGGGAGACTATTAATAGTAACAAGCAGTTATGTTGTTATCATTAATATTAATTATTATGATTAATAGTGATATAAGCAACAGTAATACAAGCACAAAGGCTTGAAGTAGGGCAGGAGCAGTGGGAATAAAACCATTTATAGTTATCCCTTCCCCATTGCAACTTTCCCCATCATGGTTTCAATATATCGTGGCTTGGCATAAGTAATTAAATGGGAATTTTGTGGAAGCTGCAGATGGGCACAGAAAAAGTTTAGAAACTTAGAAATGCATAAAATATATGTATAGTATTGTATAATATCAACATATTTTATCTTTTAAAACCCTAGTAATTCCAACTTCTTCTGGTATGGAAGGCTAAAAATTTTAAGCTGATTTTACAGATCTTGAGGACACTGTGCCTCTAATACCTGCTATGTGGAAGGGGTAACTGTAGGACATTTCTAAGGAAGAATAACTGAATATGAGACTAAAGGAGAGAGTGCTGTCCAAATCACCCCAAGAACCAACGGAAGGGCTATTAATAGAAGGGTGATAAAGGAATTAGTTTGAGTTGGGGAAGATGAAGAATTCATTTTTGGCGATACCGACTTTGAGGTACAACCAGGTGGGAGGATGTTCCTAAGGTGGAGCAGGTAGGACAAAAGTCAGATCTAGAGATTTAGATTTGGTAATGATCAGCACAGAAGTGATAATTGCAACCGTGAGAATTAATGAGCTCTCCAAAGGAAGAGTGTGCAGGGAGAAAGAAGAACCTGTGGACTCCCACAGGTTAAAGGGTGAGAGGGAGTCATCAAAGTAGACAGAAAATATATGTGTCAAGTGTCATGATGACAAATGGCAGAGTGTTGTGTGGCCACTAAACTGTAGGGGAGGTGCTGCGCTCTGTCTTCTTTGGGCCCTGGGGACGGAGGAGCAAAGATACAGCCATACACATCAGATAGCCTAGGGGTGGGGGTAAAATGGCGTTTGCGATAGCCATTTGGCTTTTCCCAGGGAGAACTTCTGTTTTAGGCCAGATTGCCCAAAAAGGTCAGCTTAGGAACCAAGAATTATTAAGGAAAATCTATTTTGATTGAAGTATTAATCATAACAGCTAGCCTGTAGCATATTAATGTTTATTTTCTGCTTCTTTTTCTTTTCTGGGCATTTTCTTGTTGAAGGGATCATCTAGAAGCCGTAGGTCACACATGTATTCTGAAAGACGCCCTTGACTTTGAAAGCTCCTCGGCAGTAGCCAGCCTAATTGGCATTGAGAAGTTTGAGGCAGCTCTGGCCCTTCATCTCTATAGAGGAGGCAGACTTTTGCAAGGTAACTTCTTTCTGTTTAATAGTAAGAACCTTGAAAAACCAATAGCAGCCAACGCGCACCCAGTGACAAATGAAGCATTGGCGTTAAACATGCATCCAAATGGAATTGTTTCATTTATCCAGGTCCGCAAGTGGGTTTGGGGGGACATCACATTATCCTTTCTAATAAATGTGTTGGTATTTTTTTTTGCCTTGGGGGGGTGTTATTGGACAAAAGACACAGGTGGGAGGGATACCAGCCTTGTAATAAATGATATGCTCAGAGATAATGCCAAAGCACATGCACTTACAAATTTACAGAACTTTTTATTATAAGATTAAAACTCCAAACAAAGGCAGATAACCAAATAAACATGCAGAATAAGGAGAAGAATTCAAGTACTTCTGCTATATTGAGAGAATTCTACGGAATACTTCCGCTATGTTGAGAGAATTCTATGGAATGCTTTCAATAGATGTGCTGTTTCCAAGGCCAGTTGTGGCAAGCAAGGCTAAAAAGACAACAACCGAAGAGAAATAGAAGATGAGAAACTTTTTGTTTTTTAAACATTTTTGTGTTTTGTGTTTAACAATGATTTGCTTTTTTTATACTTGAAAGAACTAAAACTGGGTGGTTGTCATTTGTTAGTGAAATTCTAGGAGACAGCCTGTCATTTTATCGATGGCATTTAGTAGAGGAGGCCTAAATTTTTGTGGACACAACATGTCTAGTCTCTTAAATTTCATGTGTCATTGATAATGAGAACTTTATACATTTGCTTTCTCAGTATTTTAACATTCTTTCTTCAGGCTGTCTTGGTCACTGGGTTGTTTCTATTTTGAGAGGACTTACAGAGTCAAATTCTAATAGGCACAGGGGATAGAGTGCTGAGCATGGGGTCAGAAAGACCTGGGTTCAGATCTATCCTCAGACACTTATTATCTGTGTGGCCCTGGACAGGTCACTTAACCTCAGCTTACCTCATTTTCCTCAACTGTAAAATGGGGCTAATAATAATTATGAAGCACTTAACACAGTGTCTGGCATATTATTGTTGTTGTAGTATGTTGAGTAGTGTCTGACTCTTTGTGACCCCATGGGGTTTTCTTGGCAAAGACACTGGAGTGGTTTGCCATTCATTCTCCAGGGTGTCCCCTTTTTACAGATGAAGAACTGAGGCAAATAGTGTTTAAGTCAATTGCTCACACAGCTAAATATCTGAAACTGGTTTTTTAACTCAGATCTTCCTGACTCTAGACCCAGTGCACTTGTTCCCTTCTTTTCTCTTCCAAAACCAAGTTCTGGTTCAGCCCTTCTATCACTGGGTTTCTGTAAATAAAGAAAATAACAGTAAAAGCAGTGCCACTTGATATACCACTTTATAATTTACAAAACCGCCTAATGAAGTGGCATCACCCCAATTTTACAGAAGAGGAGACAGGCTCAGGGAGATGATGTCTGACTTCAAGGCTAGGGCACATTCTTTTTTTTGTTAATTGATTAATTTATTTTTAGTTTTCAACATTCACTTCTATAAGATTTTAAGTTTTAAAATTTTCTCCCCCTCCTACTCCTCCACCCACCCAAGTCGGTGTACAATCTGATATAGGCTCTACATGTACATTCATATTAAGCCTATTTTCCGTTACTCATGATGTAAAGAACAATTAGAACTAATGGGAGAACCACAAGAATGAAGCAATAAAACAAAGCAACAAAGGAAAAGGAGAGCAAAAAGTATGCTTCCGTCTGCATTCAGACTCCATATTTCTTTCTCTTGGTGTGGGTAGCAATTTCCATCGTGAGTCTTTTGGAGTTGTCGTAGATTCTTGCATTGCTAGGAAGAGTCAAGTCTATCAAAGTCAGTCATCCTATAATGTGACTGTTACTGAGTACAATGTTCTGGCTCTGCTCATTTCACTCTATCAGTTCACATAAGTCTTTCCAAGTTTTTTTGAAGTCTGTCTGCTCATCATTTCTTATAGCACAATAGTATTCCATTACATTCATATATTACAACTGTTCAGCCATTCCCCAATTGATGGGCATCCCCACAATTTCCAATTTTTTGGCACCAGAAAAAGAGCTGTTATAAAATTTTTGTATATTTGGGTCTTTTCCCCATTTTTATGATCTCTTTGGGATACAGACCTAGAAGTGGTATTGCTGGGTCAAAGGGTATGCACAGTTTTATAGCTCTTTGGGCAGAGTTCCAAATTACTCTCCAAAATGGTTGGATCATTGCAACTCCACCAACAATGTGTTAATGTTCCAATTTCCCACATCTCCTCCAACTTTTATCATTGTCCTGTTTTGTCATGTTAGCCAATTTGATAGGTGTGATATAGTGCCTCATAATCATTTTGATTTGCATTTCTCTAATCAATAGTGATTTAGAACATTTTTCCAAATGACTATAGATAGCTTTAGTTTCTTCCTCTGACAACTACCTGTTCATATCCTTTGACCATTTGTCAATTGGGGAATGACTTGTATTCTTATAAATTTGACTCAATTCTTTACATATTTTAGAAATGAGACCATTATCAGAGACACTGGTTGTAAAAATTCTTTACCAGTTTTCTGCTTCCCTCTTAATCTTGGATGCATTGGCTTTATTTTTGCAAAACCTTTTTCAATTTAATGTAATCGAAATTGTCCATTTTGTATTTCACAATGTTCTCTATCTCTTGCTTGGTCATAAATTCTTCCCTTCTCCATAGATCTGAAAGGTAAACTATTCTTTGCTCTTCTAGTTTGCTTATAGTATCAGTCTTCATATCTAAATAGTGTACTCATTTTGACTTTATCTTGGTATAGGTAGCGCACATTCTAAACCCAAATCCCTCACCCCTTTCCCAAAGTGGCCAGGATAAAGCCTAACCTAATTTCTCACTCTACAGAAATGCTTTCAAAAGAATATTATTGGAACACATATCTATCAAATACAATGACTAAGGCAAGTGAGATAACCTCTGTGACTTTGAGCAAACTACTTCCTATCTCTAAGCCTCACTTTCCTCATATGTAAAATTAGGGGTTTTGATTTGGTGACGTGTAAGGTACCTTCTAGCTTGAAATGCTTGATCCTATGCTTTTATAAGAAGTCACTAATTGGAAAATCTAATGAGAGCTCTTGACACCCATTAGTCTTATTTGCCTTTTATCCACTCCAACCTTTTTCTCTATGGTGGATTTAAAATAAACAAATAAATAGGCAAATAAATGAATAAATGAATATATGTATATGTATATATGTATATTTTGCTTATGGTGAGCTAGGTGGGACATGGGCTAATGGAAAGAATTGGAGTCAAAAGATTTGGGTTTAGCTCCTGGCTTCGTTACTTTAATTGTCTTGTAATGTTGGACAAGTCATTTCCCCCTTCTAAGGTTCTTTTCAGTCAATCTCTGCAGTACCTGATGGGAGCTTTTGTGAAAAGAGCACTTTGTGAACCTTAAAGTCCAATATAAATGGAAGCTACTATTATCTTTATTATGTGTGACCTTTTTTTGATGAGGAAACTAGGGTTCTGAGGGAGAGTAACGATTCTCCCAGTCACGTGACTAGTGATGGAGCAGTACACTAGCGATCTTTTCTGTTTTGTTACACCACCCTTGTTTATTTAATAAAGCACTAGAGATCCAGTGCTAATACACAGTTAGTAGTGGCAGAGCTAGGATGCAATCCCAGATCTCTTGGCTCATATAGTAATGTTCTTTCCAGTAGACCGTGCCCCAACAAATTCATTTGTAATTATGAGTCAGTCAATCAATAAACATTTATTATATATCTACTATATGCTTACCTCTGATCTGGCATATCCAGCTACCTTTCAGACTTCTCAAAATGTATGTCTAGTAAACTGACATCTTAAATTCAACGTGTTCAAAAGTGATCTTGTAATCTTTGCCCCTAGTCTTTACCTCTTCCGGACTTCCCTATTACTGTCAAAGGCACTACCCTCCTCCCAGTCCTGGGTCATCCTTCACTCCTCATTCTCTCACACACCATCCCTGGCCTCATCCTATCAGTTGCTGAAGCCTGTAAACTTTACTTTCTACTTTCATAACATGCCCCTTTTCTCCTAACACCATGGCCACCCTGGCCAACACCTGGTCCCACCAGGCTCATGCCTGGACTGTTGCAAGTCTGCTGGATGGTCTGCCTGCCCCAAGTCTGTCCCCACTTCAGTCCATACAAAACTATATCTTACATGTACATAATTGTTTACAAATTGCCCCCCCCATTAGAATGTAAGCTCCTTGAGGGCAGGACCCTGTTTTTTCCTTTCTTTTCTGGCGCACAGTAAGCATTTAATAGATGCTTATTGATGATAATGGTGTTGATGTGGAGGTGAAGATGGAATGCTTCCCAGGCAAGGAGGATAGCCATGCAAAAGCATAAGGGAGATGGAGTACCATGTGTGAGGAATAGCAAGAAGACATATTTAACTGAACCATTGAGTATGTGCAGGAGTATAATATAATATATAATATAATATAAGGCTGGGAACATAGATTGGAACAGTTGTGAAGTCCTTTAAATGCCAAACAGGAGTTTGTATTTGATTTTAAAGCTCACAGGAGCCGCTGGAGTTTATTGAGTAAGTGAGTATATGAAAATTGAACTGGAGTGGGGAGAGACTTGAGGCAGGGTGGCCAGCTGGGAGGCTACTGCAGTATCCCAGGCAAGAGGTGATGGAAGCTTGAACTAAGAGGAACAACAAAACAAAATATGGGAATTTGTAGTTTCTAATATACAAATATATCCTCAAATACAAATACAAACATTTAAAAATAAAACAAATATAAGAAGCCTGGAATAGATAAAAGGCAGCTATGACAATGTAGGTACATTTAACTGCTCTCCCCCCACCCCCCACCACATACATAGAAGCCTGTTCACATGCTTCATGTTCACATGCACATACACACACACATATATTTGGTTGGGCAGGAACCACAGCATGGGGACTTCTTTAGAAATTATTTCTCACTCCTCTTGCTTATTTTAAAATTTATGCTGTAAGATCATAGATTTTGAGCTAGATGGGAAAGCTCTTAAAGTGCATTCAGTCCAGATCTCTCACTCGAAAGATAAGTTATCTCAGACTCAGGGAGATAGGTAGTAAGGAACAAAGGTAGGATTCGAACCTAGGCTGTCTATATGGAAAGCCAATTCTTTTCCCAGAAAATCCCACACTGTAGTAGTAACAGAGTTGTCCAGGAGGCTCCTTGATCCATTTTCTTTTAAACTAACAGTGCAATTGAAGAGATAGTTTAAAATTTCAGGAAATAGCCCTCCTGCCCTCAGGTTTATATGCCCAGAGAAAAAATAGATTTGACTTATCCCAAAGCTCCTGTAACCAGTGAAAGAGTTTTGGATTGAGTGATGCATTTTGTTGGTCTAACACATACACACACACACACACACACACACACACACACATGCACATGCACACACACACACACACACACACACACACACACCCCACACACACAGAGTATACTAAAACAATGCTATTATGAGTCTGGTGGTCTAACATTTTTTGATTTGAACATTAATAAGGGCTTTCACTGTGACATTCATATTTTCAGACTAAGACATGATGCTCACAGTCTTAATACAGGCAGGTTCCATCCTGGCCATTGAATATTTTCCAAAAGTTCCTTTGTTTGTTGGTTATTTAGAACTCAGGATGCATTTTCCCCCACACATTGTGTGTGCATGTTGGTGTACCCATAATCATGCAACAGGTATAGTACAGCATAGGTGGGGAAATGCATTCCAAGTTTCAGGTGCCCCACCTTTTTTATGAAGTCTTTATGAATTACTTTGTATAATAATCCTTATCTGAATATATTTTATACCACCCACCTCCAATTAGAATGAGAATTCTTTGGCGGGCAGGGCTTCTTTGCTTTTTGTCTCATTATCTCCAGAGGTTGTCAGTGCCTTGCACATAGTAGACACATGATAAAGGTTGTTTGGATTGACTTAAATTCAGTTATCACACACCAATATTATCTTCATGGTGATTGGGTATGATTGAAAGAATGGTCTACTTCATGTATCTTGTGGGTTAAATAGTTTTCTTTGGGCTGGCCTGGAAATCTAACATCTATTTATAACCTTGTTTCTATGACAAGTTGCATTTTTAAGTTCTTGTTAGGATAACAAGTATTTCCCCTAGTTGAATCTTTGGAGAAGCTTTGGAAAGACTGGATGGGATTTGGGAATAGATCCCTGGTCAACAATAAATATTCATATTCAGAGAAGGCACCTTTCTAATTAAAAACAGAACAAAAAAATGCAACAAATTAAACAAGAAAAAGCTAGAATGGATTAAAGGCTTCTTGCAACTTCAAGGCTTTGAATGGATTTTAACTAAACAGGCCATATAGTGTCACATTGGGATAATGTTTGTGTAGATCTCAAAGGGCCTTCATCATTGTTTAGATTTTGATGACTTAGAATGAGTGTAAATAGCACTTGTCTTCTGTTCTGGTCAGAAACTCTGAGGGTCTTCCTTTCCCAGATTGATATCTTTTTGATGGTAAATTAAACCATCTTTTGTCTCAACTCTTACCCAACTCTCAGTCTTTGAATAAGAGTGGCCTCAAACAAACTGAGATCTAGGAAAGTCCTTAATTTAGAAAGGCCAAGGTTTCCCACTGCATGGCCAGTTGTCTTGACCTGTGTCTTGCTACTGGACTTCGATGACTCTGGAGGAGACAGTAGAGTGATACTTTTCGCAGCTGTGCCATACTCATATCCAATTCATTTGCAAGTCAAGACATCACCTTCATGATGTCATTGGTCCTCTTTGAGAAGGAAGGACAAACAACAACTTATGGTCTTCAAGGGGAAAGAGCTAAAGTCAGCCTTGGTTGTCCAGTTCTCTGATTCAGATGTACAGGTAGTGGTACCTTTTTCAACTAAGAAAGAAAAGGTGGCTTTGGATGATACAGTGGGAAATTCCTATACTACTTGGAAGCATCATTTTTAAATGTCTTTTCTTTTTTTGACAGTAGTTTACTATTTAAAATTACTATTACTTTGCAGGTCAAAGAATACCTTTTGGAATCATCTTTGGAGGAACAGATATAAATGAAGATATTAACCATGAAGAAAAGAAGCAGATAATGGGGATTATTCTAGAAGAAGCCAGGTAATTTTTAGAAAATCAGTTGTGGGGGTAGTTGGTGTTGTGGAGAGAGTGCTGGGCTGAGTGCAGAGATACTTGGGTTCAAATCCTCCCTCTGATGCTTAATTAGTTCTATCACACTGGCTTAGTCGGTTCTCTTTTCTTTCCTTGTTTCCTCATCTTAAAAATAGGAATCATAGTAACTCTATAAAATGTCCAACAGCATTATTATAAAGATCGAATTAGATAGTGTGTCTAAGGCACTTTGTAAACCTAGCAATAGAATTATATGCTATTATTATTCCAATATCTTGTACATGATAGGAACTTAATAAACTGTTTGTTAAATCTAATTAGACTGTATCAACACAAACAAGCCAGCTTGAATGAATTTATTCAAATAAAACAGCTATATAAACAATTGTATTTAGTCATATTGACTAGATGCCTTATAACTCATTAGAATTTTCCCCTACTTTTTGTTTTGGCATTTTGTAGAAACAGCCCATAAGCAGGTACTTCTTTGCCTAGAAAAATTACTTTTACTGTCAATGACTATTTGTTGAACTCAAATGGGATGTATTTTTTCATGCTACTCTTTGGATCATGGAGAATATATGATTCCTGCCCTGCCCTCTGGGAGTTAACAATAGGAAATAGTTATTTTCCTATATTTTGGTTATTTTATTCATCACATTATATGCACTCCCCCAAACCACATCATCTCTCTGATTCCCATGCATCTACATCTCTGGATCCTCTAAATCATTTTAGGTAGGGTCTGGCAGCAATATTTCCAGGCTTTGACTTGGACCTCTTCCCCACCTGTCACTGGCTCACCTCTCCAACGGACACAGAAACAGGAGTGAGAGTTGTGTCACTAAAAAAGCCTTATGAACAAGATGGGAACTCGATAACCTGATGGAAATGTGGACTATCCTGATCTTTAAATAATTCACTTTTAGTTTGAAGTGCTTAAAGCATCCAAATTCCTACTGTACCTTGTACAAAAAGAAAAAAAACTTTAGGATCATAGATTTAGGACCTTAGTCCTATAAATCTAGTTCATTCTTCTAATTTTACTGGTAAAGAAACCCAGAGATTAAGTGACTTGCTCAGGGTCACAGAGACAGTAAGTCACAGAGCAAGGATTTGAATCTAGGACTTGGAACTTCCAAGCCAGTGGTCTTTCCAATATTCATTGTTGCCTTCCTGTGTTATGGTAGATGTTAGTCTTGTCCCCTAAAACTAGTGTTATTAAATGTGCCACTGGCTTTAAATGAGCTAATTCCTTGAAAATATTTTCCAAGGAATTAGCTAAGATTGGGTATTTAAAAAATCTTTACAAAGTTATCTTGCAGCTCTGTAGGCATCAGAGACATTTTAGGATAATTAATTAATTGACAAATTGAAAGATACTTTATTATCATAGTTCTGCTCTTATACTTGAAAATAATTAGCTTGATATCATTCATAATGTATGATCTCATAGAGAAAAAGTCATTCTGTTCCCTAGAAGCAGTATTGAATGAATTCCTCTTGTAGTATTATCACTAGTATTATTCATTGCATAGTTGTTAAAACAAACATTGATTTTTCCCCTGTATTGATTGCAGACTAGTGTGTAGGAACATTGCCTGAATCATAGATTACTTGTACAGCACAATATTGCACAAAATTCTGTAAAAACAAAATATTGAACTGTGTCTAGCTTTATAATGAGTGCTTTATTTTTAATCAAATTCCCTTAAATGGTAGCTGTTTTCCTATAAGGTATATTTTCTGTTTTTTGTAGCATTTGATGAGCTTCAGAACAAGTGATTTTCTGCTTGTTTAGGTGAAGTGTTTCAAGCATAATGGCAAAAACTGGACAATGGAGAGACATGTGCAGATAGCAATGAGAGAGACAGAGACAGAGAGAGATTACAAGGGCACTTATTTGCTCAAGAGCCCAGTAAAAATAACAACAACACATTTGTTCTAAATTCTCAAAAAAAAAAATTAAAGCTCACTAAAAATATCACAAACAGGGGCAGCTAGGTGGCACAGTGAATAGAGCTCTGGCCTTGGAGTCAGGAGGACCTGAGTTCAAATCCAGCCTCAGACACTTAACACTTACTAGCTGTGTGACCCTGGGCAAGTCACTTAACCCCGATCGCCTCACCAAAAAAAAAATCATAAACAAGTCTCTTTCTTCTCTCTTTCTTACCCCACCAAAAAAAAATGACATGAAAAATTATAAATTAAGAGAAGCAAGGGGAAAACCACCAGGATGAAGACATATTCTTCTTTATTTTTTTGGCACTATGTGGTATAGTAGAAAGAATACTGGATTAGGAGTCAGAAGTTAAGGATTTGAATCCGACTTTGCTACTTATTCTGTAGTCTCTCCCTCTGATCTTGGATGACTATACTTTTCTGGGTACGTGTTTCCATACTTAAAACCTCCAAGGGTCCCTTCTTGCCCTAAGATGCTAGGACTGTTAGAATGTTTCTAGAATTAGAGTCACAAATAATGCAAGAAATGATATTATGTTCAAATAGGTAAGATACATGTTTAAGGAAAAAAAGCCTAAATCAGAAATTTTGAGGAGATGCCAAAATGGAAATAGTGTAGAGAATTTGTAAATGACAATGAATGTCACTAAGGGCAGAATTAATGTAGTAGAAGATAAAATGGCAGACAATACTATTGAAAATAAAAAAAAATAAAAAACATTTAGGTAAAAATGATCAAGAAGCAATTATAATTAGAGTTATGGATTTGGAAGAGAAATTAGAAGAAGAACCCTCAGAATTACTACAGTATCTGAAATTACTGAAGGAGAAAAGAAGTTAATGTATATGTGTCATGAAATTGTACAAGACAGTTCCCCAGAACTATCAAAAGGCAGCAGTATTCCACAGACAAAAAGAATTCACAGAATCCCAGGGATGATATTAACTCAGGCTTATTATTGTGAGCTCTCAGGACTAAAGTCCGGACTCCCCATTCTCCCCCTCCCCCCCCAAAAAAAGTCTTTCAGGTTCCAAGAAGCAAGTCACTTATCAAAAACATCAATTATTATTGCCCAAGCTTTTTCTTTTTCTTTTTGCTTTGTTTTGTTTTGTTTTTCTTCAGTAACCAGAAATGACAGAAGAAATTGGGCAGTGACTATACAAAATTCAAAACATGAGTGTTGATCCTAGACTTACTTTTGCATCAAATCTAAGAATTTATTTTGAATATAAAAATTAGACTTTTAAAAGCCAAGAAAACTTCAAAGAATTCATGGGAAAACAAATATAGTTGAGTTAGGTATAGAAACATTAAGAGTCAAATACTTTAGAGCATGAACATGAATACTTTACAACTGTGATTGCCTAAATATTATATAATTTATATCTATGTCATACATAGATGGTATGAAGTTTTATATGTGATATGATAGAATATATATAATCAATCTCAATTATATATACATATATATCTATACATGTATATGCATATGTATACACATATATATGTATACACCTGCATACATATATGTGTTTGAGTGTGTATGTATATAGTTATGTTATTGTTAGGTGAGTTACTGAATGATAGATACCATTGGTTAAAGCTCCTAAATTGGGAAAGGGTCAAGTTTTAGAGATGAAAATTATAGAAAATGCTATAGTGTTATAGAGATATTTAGTTTAGAATGTTTTAAAAGAATGGAATCTAGCAATCTCCAGGAAGCATGATGTCGAAAGAGGGAAGTAAAGTTTAAAATTTTACAGCTATCTCCAGAAAATATGGAATTCTTTGGTAGACAGCAAAGTCAAAATGAAACCAGAAGGTAGTGAGAGATAAACAAGGAAATCACACTGAAAAGCACAAATGAAAAGGAATGCGTATCAGTTTTGGAGGTTTTGGATACACTTGGACCAAGTGATTTGGTAGTTGAATTTATAAAGGAAATACTTATAATTTTGCAAAAAAAGAAATATATGGAAAATTAATGAGATTTTAGCACCTTATTATCAGAATATGGGTCATAAAAAAAGTAACAGACTTGACAGTATTGAACAAACCAGTTCTAATAACTACATATATACACATATGAAGGCAGAAAGAGAGAAACAGAGAGTGAGTGAGAGAGTAAACTGGGAAAAAGAGAGAATGTGCATTTTTGTTCAAGTATACGGAGACTTTCACAGTATGTCTTATTCTTTGTCATAGCTAAGTCCTAGTTAAATTCATAAAGGCAGAAAATATAAATGCTCTATTTTCAGCCAAAGATGTTAGTATCATTAAGGGATCTATCTATACATTGAAGACCAGTGATTTTCTCAGGTATAGGCACTCCCGACACCAAGGCAGATCCAAACCCACCTATAACTTTTCTCCTTCAGGAATTGGGAAGGCAGAGGGGGAATTTGCCCTTGTTTACTTACTTAGAGGCAAGTTTTGAACTAAGGTTTTTCTGACTTCTGGAGCACTCCATCTCCTTTGCCATGCTGTCCCAATCATTCATAATAGTGACTAAATGAAACCAGATATTTGATCATTAAAACACATAAACTACATATAAAGACAACTTTAAAGCAATTTTAACAGTCAGAAAGAAATGAACAATTAGAGAAATAGCCTCTGCCAGTGGCCAGGTGGAGCCAATATTATAAAAATGCCCATACTTGTCAATTGATATATAGATTCAATGCGATACTCATGCTTACTTTAAGGATTTATCAAGGGGAGCTTGATTTCAGAAGAAGTAAACAATACCTCAATGTAAGACTGTATTTAATGATAAATAATGAATCCCACGATGTTATATAATAGCCTTTTTTTTATAAATTCAGTTAATTGGAAAGTTATTTCCTAGAGGAAAATCTACCTTCAAAAAGTATAATTCAATTCAGTGAGCATTTATTAAGCACCTACTGTGCACCAGGCACCATGGGGATAAGTATTTTCATAAACGTGAAAAGAAAATTCATTTGTCATTTAGAAATGAAACTATTGATGCCCTCAAGGATCTTAACATTCTTACTGGAGGAAACAACTGGTATAAGATAGATAAATTTAAAATATATATACCTGAAGTAGATACAAGGTGATTTTGGTGAGGGGAAGGAGCACTAGGGATTCCGTAGTGGGGTGGGGATGAGGAAATCAGGAAAAACCTCTGTAGGAAGTAGGGCCTAAGTTGAGCCTTGAAGGTCAGGAGGTAGAAGTGGGTGGTAGGGAGGTGACCATTGAAGGCACAGGGGACAGTCTATGCAAAGGCATGGAGGTGAGGGATGGAATATTATACATGAGAAATAGCAGGCAGGCAATTTTGTCTGGAATTTAGATTATGCAAGAGGTAGTAGTGTGTAGTTAACCTGAAAAGATTAGTTAGAACCAGACTGTAAAGGGCTTTCAGTGCTCAGTAGAATCTGTTATCCTACACTAAAGGTAATAGGGAGCTCCTGAAAATTTTGAGCAGGTGAGTGATGTGGTCAGACCTCTGTTTTAGGAGTGGCTCTTTGATTGCTGTATGAAAGCAGAGGAGAGAAGCTAGAGGCAGGCAGTTGAATCAGGAGGCCAATGCAGTTGTCCAGTTCATAAGTGATAAGGGCCTATAAGTTACTATTAGTTTAAAAAAAATCAGCAGAGTCCAACATTTTCTTGAATATATAGTAAGGTTGATCATAGACCTTCATTACTCCTTTCCTCTTCAGTCTGATTGTGTGGCATTTGCCCAGGTCCTAGATCAGAATTTTCCAACAAAGGCAGAAAAAATAACAGGTATTCACACCCTTGGATGACTCTTGTTTCTCTCTGGTAAAACTCTTTTGAAGGGGTTTGATGGGCAAAAAAATTGAACCTGACTCTTGGTGACCATGAAGTAATACTTTCAAGTAAATAGTAAGCATTTTGATCAGCTTCTTACTTTTTCTCATATATTTTGCTCCAAAGAACTATTTCATAGTCATGTGGAAAGGTTTTCATAGTAATTGTCACTACCATTTTTGTCCCTTTTCTTAGATTTGCAGTGGCTTTTACAGAATCAATGAAGGAAATGGCAGTAAATAAATGGGTATGTTTTAATTTTTTATCATTATTTATCATTGTACAAGTGGAATTTCGGGCAAAGTGAAAATAAATATATTGGAGGGGAATCCCATTTGGATATGGAAATTTTGCCCACTACTACTGATTGTGACAACCAGTATAATGCATTTTGTTTTTCAGTGATTAATGTTTTTCTTCTGTGCAGCTACTTTGAACCTTCATGGATTTTTTTCAGTGGCAGAAATAACAGCCAACCCTTCAAGGCAAACATTAACTTTTTTTTTCTTTCTGTCCTTTGTGGTTGGGTGGCTCTAGGCTTGTATTACAAACTGCTAGTAAAGATCATTGGCTTCATATCTACTGATAGCAACAGACTCTTGGGGAGTAGATGTCCTTTTCCAAAGTCAGACTAATTCAACTGGTAGAATTCAGTTGAGGAAGTGGTTGCATTGTAAGTTAAATCCCTTATGGACTCTGCAATTCAGGATTTCAGAGTGGGGAGGCCTTCTAGTCCAAAACACACTTTAAAAGTAGTTCAAACTGTTACCACTTCTGACAGATAGCCATGCAGTCTGTGCTGGAACACCTCCATGAAGGGGAAGTCCTCCTCCTTCATTAACTCCTAAGGCAGTGCAGTCCACTTTGGGACTGCTGTAATTGTTAGGAAGTTTCTCATGATGGTCAGACCTTAATTTACATACTGGTAACTTCCACCTGTGTCTTCCTGGTTCTTCATTCTGGGACCAGATGAAACAAATCTAATCTCTCATTGCCCTTTGAATATTTGAAGAATGCTATCCTATCCGTTCTGAATCTTTTTTTCCAGGCTAAACAAGCCAGTTCCTGCATCAAGGCCTTGACCATCCTGATTACCTTCCTCTAAATTCTCCCACTTAGGTAGCAAGTAGAAAGACTTGATAGTTTTACTTGATATTTTTGTTAAGTTCTTAGTAGTCGTTGCAGGTGCATAATTTTTATAAAATCCATTTTCAATTTCCAGTTTTTCCTAATCATGATCAAGAATGCAGTAAGAGAATTGTTTTAAAATCAAAGGATAAAAAGGACCCCAGAGCTGAGCCTTCCCCATCTAGACTGTGGGCCTAGTCCACATCTTTGCATTTCTGCAATGCCTTGCACATATATAAATGATTTTTGATTAAGATGCTGTTTTTAGGAGGATTAATTTTGCAGAATTGTTCAGAACCGATTGAAGGAGAGAGAGCCTTTTGGCATCAAGACCATTTGGGAGGCACAGCCCTTGTCTCAGCATGAGAGGCTTAAGGTGATTGGGAAGGCACAGATTCAAAGAAAGAATTGGTTATCCATATAGGAATATGGGGAGGTGAGAGAAAGGCAGAAGAGGAACCAATCATGAAGTTTTGAAATTGAGTGATTTAGAAAGCAGTGGTACCACTAACAGAAACAGAGAACCTACTAGGAGGAGCTGAGTTTTTTCCTTTTCTTCTCTTTTCTTTTCCTTTCCTTTCTTTTCTTTTCTTTACTGTCTTTCTTTTTTTCTTTCCTTTTTTTTTTTTTTTTGGTGGGGAGGGAAGGAAGGATGCTGCTAGTGTGGGGAGGGACAAATGGAGTTAAGATTTCCATTTTGTACATGTTAAATTTGTAGTGCAGATAGGACCCTCAGGTGGAAAAATCTCAAGTAGACATTTGGTGAGTTCAGGAGCGAGGCCAGACCTGGAGACAGAGACCAGAGACCTGGGAGTCACTCACATGAGGTGATAGTTGAATCCATGAGGGTGGCTTACTTTTTGACTGATTTGGATTTTGAATAATAGAGCAACAAAAAGTCCATAAACTTCAACTCCAAATACAAGGTCCATTTTTTTTTTTAAGAATAAGCCACTTACATGATAATTTCTATAAAGAACCTGCTTCTCTTTTTATATTTCTAATGGTGACATGGTATTTGAGTAATTACAATTTGGTTCTTAATTGCACTATTGTCAGCTAGAGATTTAAATTTGTAATGCTTATATTACTGAATGGATTTGCTTTACTGCATAATGGCTTGACTAATCCCCTAATTATTATAAAACCGTAATAAAAATCAGCTAATTCCAATAAACCCCAGACAAAAGAAATTCATGAATTTTCTTTGGATACTCTCCTGATCACTAAAGAGGAAATATGTGTGTTTGTTTATATAAATGTGATTCTGTCTCTAGAGAGTAAGTAGGTTTTCTCTCGAGTAGTACGACAATCAGGCAATCTCTCTAGAGATGTTGTTTTATATATAAACTTAGATGGGTTTTTGTGTATAGGCTTAAATATGGGTTATAAGTTGGCTTATGTATAGGTTTATATATAACTATATTTATACATACACAAAGTTAAAACATATACTTATTTCCATGTATGTATATTATATGGAACTATACACACATACACACACACACACACACACACACATGAGGAAGCATGGCTTAGTGGATAGAGAAATGGCCTTGGATCCAGGAAGACCTGACTTCAAATTCCTCCCCTGAAATATACAGGCTGTATGACTCTGGCCAAGTCTTTTAACATCTCAGTGCCCTGGGCATCTCTCTAAGTTGCAAAGAAGGTACTGACCTGCATTGGCAGAAGGAGTTTCCTTACCTGGGAGTTCCCTATGACAATGAAATCATATGTCCTGTCTCTCTACACATGTGTAGACACGCTCATGTACTGTGTCCTTATATGTTATTGCATGTACATGCATATCCACATGTTTGTGTATTCATGATTTTGACATAAACTAGTTCAAAATTTGTGGGCTTTTTTTCTTCCTCATGTAGGCTAACCTATCTATGTAACCTTTAAGTAGGAATATGCTTACATACGGTCATAGATAATAGTCTTGTGGTTGATGTAAAACTCAAAGTAGCCATTCTCCTTAGTCACTCTATGGTTTTAATTTCATCCTCTATCGATATTTATGTCTTTATATATACAGGAGCTCTATCAAGGCGAAGGGAGTTTCTAAAGGAATTTCTGCTACAATGCTTAATATCAGATGACTTATGCTAATAAAAATATGCCAGTAGGATTTTCCTTGCAATTTACCACCAGAGGAAAAGGTGGCATCTTAGGCAATTCTGTTTGGTGGGTTGTTGGCATGTGGTTATTTTTGGCTGAGTATGCACAAACCACAAAGCCATGAAATTTGGTTGGACTCCAGTAAGATAACTTGCTTTTTACCATTTTTTTTCTGGTCCCCTTTCACTGTCTTTTAGATTTGTGTAGACAACACCTCAATGAAAGATTGTATTTAATGGTAAATAATTAATCTCATGATGTTAGATAATAGCCTTTTATTTTTGGAAAAATTCAGTTCATATAATATGATATTTGGCAGAGGTAACTGCTATGTATCAATCATTTTTAGTTTGTAGCATTTTATATGTATTCTTATGTGTTTCACATAATTTTAATGAAATATTTATATATAAATATCATATGTATAATTTAAGAAACATTTTAACAATATGAAATTTTGATCCATTACCATTTCATAAAACTGTAACTGAGATTGTAGATGTATTGCTACTGTAGATGTGTTGTTGCTTATTATAAATAATGTACTTTACATTTCTGAATTTTTAGTACTGTGTCTAATTCTGACAACTGCTTCACGTATCAGGGGGAAAAATTCCTTGGTCTGGCTGAAACCTGGACAAAATATAGGTCACCAAAGAAAAGTTTCTTCCAGCCTGAGTCTATGATCCTAGATCTTTCTGCATAGACCTCAGGTTGTTTCAAAGCCTACAGGATTATGATAAATTTCACCTGCTCCAGTCCAGTGGGATGAAGAGGACGCAAACATGTCTAACTCATGTTATTAATTGTTATGGGCTTTTTCTCCCATTTCTCATGTGCTTGCCCAATTTGGATTTTCCATGTCTGATTTGTGTTTTCAACTTTAAGCACAAATCATTGGCCCCAGGGATTTAGAAGTAATTATTTTTTGGGGGGAAAGGTCCTTCAAGACTTATAAAATAGGAATCTAATACAGGAAGGAAAAAAATGAATGAATGTTAATTTTTAGAATTTCTTCTGTTAAAAACCAACTAACATCTGAGCCTTGCAAAACAATGAAAGTGATCACTGAATGCATTTTGCAACGGTTAGTATTCAGTTAGGTTCTTTGGGGCCAGACCATCTAATGATTTTTATTTATTTATTTTTAAAAGTAGCCTCATTTTCAGCCTTCTTTGGCCATTTATCTTTCCTTCTGCATCTTAGTTTTTTCTGCAGTAGTTATTGTAGGCAATACATATATGTGCAATTTACTTTCCATCTGTACATAAACTCATCAGAAATTCTTTTGGAAATTGATATGCAGAAAGCAAGACAGGTTTTATTGGCTGTTACGTGAGCAGTTCAAACCACAGGTGAGCTCAGAAAGACAGCTTAGTAACTGGTGCTAGCCTAAGTGAGCTGCTTAACTCAGCATGTTGGCCCTAATGACTTCTTACATACCTTCCCTGCATGTTTTTTGTCTGTCATCTGATTATCTCAAAATATCAGACAATAATAAAAAGCACACATGCCTGGCCCACCATGTACCAAGCCTTTTATGTACATCAATTTCACCCCTTTTTGTCTTCAGGAATGGGAGGTTTTGCACCAATAACACTTCTAAATTCTTTTTAAGTGAAACATCAAGGATTAATCATATATTAGACAACTTCTGGTTTGATAAATATTTAATAAAGTACTCTCTCTTCAGAGAACTTTGGTTGGAGGAACTGTGAAAATGACCCAAGTGTTTTGTTTTGTTTTTTTTTTCCATGTGAGACCACTGGAATCTGTAGTTCCAAAATGATTAACAAATTCCTAGGTTATGTTACCTGAAAATACCTCATTTTATCTGGGCCTCCAACCTTGGGAATGAACAGAAAATGTTTCAGTTGGGCCCAAACTGCCTAGGCAGAGGAAAGGCAAAAATAGCTTCTGAGACTTCCTTAGGGTACTTGCTTTCTCTTACGAGTTGGACTTTTAAAAAGCCGCAAACTTCCCTGGAATTTTCCTTTGACTCTGTGTATGTAGCTTCATCATGCACCACATCATACTACTTTCTTTCTAATGGAGTTCATGTTGTTTTGTTGTTACAACCATCCACCTGTCTGTTTCATCATGGATCAGAGCAAATCATTATTTGAATCTCATTATTGAATTTACTTCTCACCTTACTACTCTTGATCTCTCTTTTTCCTATTTCAAACATTTTTCTTTGGCTAGTTTCCTGGCCTTGGGGATAGGCTTGAGAGAATGTTCATGTTTGCTCTTACTTGTTTGTGGGCAGGTGGAAGGAAAGGAGGAGATGTGTGGTTGGGCCTAGGGAGGGGAATGAGAGAGATCTTCTCAAGATATGTACATCTATTTCTGTGAATTATTTAATTCTATGATGGAGACACATTCAGTAATATGTCAAACTTGCTTTCTCCATTTATTACAGGTTTTTGGCTTTTTAAGTCGAAACTTAATCAGAAGCTGTCTAGTGATTTTAAAGTAAAATCACTTTTATTTAAGCCCTTTGGGGAAATTACTGAAATTGCATATATCCTTTAAAAATGTGAATATTATGTATTTTCTCCATTTGTAGGTTCTTTTCATTTTTATGAACTAAAAACTGACAAGTTATTATAAAGATCTTATATGCAAGTATCCCATTTAAATTACCTTTCAGATTTTGAAAAAAAAACATCAGGAGTAATCTATTAAAAACTTCATAAATAAGGACTTTGATAAAGAATATTTATTTGGCTCTTTAAATAATTAACTTTTTATATCTTCAGGCCAAAGTACACTGCACTTTTAAGTTATTCTTTTTCTAATGTTTGTTTCTATCATTCAAATAGCAGAATATATTATAAGAAATTGCCTTGAGGAGATACATTTACATAAGTATATGTACACATGCCAATGCTTATGTGATAAATCATGAAATATAAGTAACATAGGTATGTCCAAAAGATCTTTTACTTTTCTGTTCATTCACACATACGCATATTAATTTGTTTTTTCCAAAAAAGCTATTAACCTTTTTTAATGGATCAAATTAAACAACAATTTCTTATTGACTCATAAAGTATAAATAAGGGTTATTTTAATCACTTTCAGAAATCACTTGAATTCAGACTCATCTTTATGATCTTTATGGTTTCTGCATTAATTAGAGAATATAGCTGCTAGGTGAATCTTTTGCTAGGACAGAGAGAGTTATGTCATTTCAAAGAAAGCAGAGAATAAGAAATGAGCAACAAAAGGTAATCTACATCTAGGGTATTTTAATATATAAAATCTTTTGAAAATCGATATCAGCCTTTTGGCTTTTACTGGGTTGTATACATTTTTTCGTTCATTATAAAAATTAAAATAACCACAGCCTTCTTTTTTTCCTTAACTTTTTTTTATTTTTTTAGCTGATATTAAAACATCTTTTAAAAAAATTGAAAACCATATGTTACTGCAAAATTAAATAAACCTGATTTTCCCCGACCCCAATTTTTCCATGTTGTAAAATGGATTTTGGTGAAAGACTGCTGTGATTTATAAGAGTTCACTATACAAGTACCAAAGGCTTTTCAAAAAATTCATTCCACTTCTGTACTGATTTTTTTTTTCTTGTGGGTTGAAAAGTATGTGATATTTTCTAAGAGGAACATTTTAAGTTTGTATGCTAATGATGACAGTGTTCACAAACAACCTGAATAAGAAACAATGATAAGACCCTAATCTTAGCCCTGCTAGTCTGTCTTTTCCTCCTTTATAAAGAAACTTTTTAGGCCTCTTAATTTTTTTTTTAAATCTATTTTAGCCCTGAAGCTCAGCAATGTGAATGAGAACCTCAGTTTCTGTTACAATTCAGAATTTTGTTATTTCCCTTCACCCAAGCAGTTTTTCCTTTTACTTTTCAAGAAGATTATGCTATAGCTTAACATATATCTTTAGAACCATCTTGATTCTTGCAGCATTCAACACTAAAAGCTCCTGTTGTGTACTATGTAACACACCTGACATTTAAGGGAGATTTTATGACTGATGGCTTCCAGGATGTTTTCCTATGCATAGTCATTCTGGTATACAATGTATGTGGGCAGTTATTCTGTGCTCTCTGACATTTCTGCCAGCTGGATAGTGACCCAGGAAAGCAACTAGTAGAGATGAGTTTATGAGTGGATGCTAAAATGAGGATTGGCTTAAGAACATACTGCCATTCCATATCTCCTCACCCCAACCTCATAGTCTGCAGTGCCCCCTAATCAAGAGGCCAAAGGGTTGACTGTCTTATCTCTGCTATGCAGGTGGCTTTAATATGATTTCTTTTCCAGTTTGCTCATAATATCAATTAAAATTTATTTCTTCTTATTTGGGCAGTTTGGGAGAGGTGGAGCATAACCACTGGTTGGAATTTGCTTTTAAGTACAAACTAGAGATTTCATGGAGCACTGACCTTTTTCTAGAGACAGCACTGTGTACACCAAAGGCAGGGCCATTGAGATTTATGTAATGCCAAGTTGTTTGTGTAATTTGGGTCCATCAGTCATCATCTGGATATTTAGTTACTGTGACACTAAGCACTCAAACATCCAGGTTGGCTTTTTCACTGAATTTACTGTTTTTATGTCACATAGGTACAACCAACCCAGTCTTTGGCAGTTGAAAATGTGACTTCTCCATATCCTTATTTGTTAAATGTGGTATTGGTTCTAGACTTGATTTTATGTAGGACTTTATGCTATCATTTTGAAATAGGCCGATTAATCAATCTGAAAAATGGATTTTTTCCCTCTCCCTGGTAGCTAATTGATGAATCCCAACTCTTTAACCCAAAAGGAATAGTAAATATGCACTTTTGGCACATAGTCATGTTAGGAGGTAATTTGGTCTTTTTGATTTTTACCATATTGAAAAGTCTGGGGTTTTGTTTTTTGTGTTTTTTTTTCCCCTTTTGGAATACTACTTCTAAAGGGAAATCCCACCCCTACCCAATGAAGCAAGAAGCCCAAACCAAACTGTCTGAAAACTTTTCTCTTCACCTGAATCATCAAGTTAAATAGATGTTCTTTGTTGCTGGCATGTTCTGTTCAAGCTCATTTAACTTTTCCACTAGCCTGGTAAGTGCAAAATCATCAGCTTGGTTGGTGTCTGTTATAACATGCATTGAATCTAATTTTAGGTCATTCCTTTCACTCTGCTTTTGGCGCAACAAAGATTTTTGTTCTCTCTCTTTGTGTGTGTGTGTGTTTGTGTGTGTGTATTGTTTTAATGAGCAAAACTCATTAAAATACAAGGATAGCTTTTTGCTTTAGCAAATGTCAAAAGTCTGAGTAGCTGCATAGATGATTTTGGATAACTGCTTCCTGAATAGGCTATTAATGGTTACATTATTATATTTCTGAAATATCATTGTGGGCCATCAAATTTATCTCTTCTTTTTCCTCTTTTCATAAGCCACATGCTAAGGGTAAAATCCATGTCCAAAGCCAAGGTAAGGATTTTTAAATATAAACAAGGTATGTTTTTTCTTTGCTTTTACCCTAGGTGATAGTGAACTTTATTTATTTACCTATTTATTTATGTATTCATTTATTTATTTGTTCATTTATTTATCTTCATTCATGTATTCATTTATTTACTATTTATCTATTCATTTGTTCACTTATTTGCTTATTTGTATCTGCTCTTGAAGTTTTTTGTTGAATATAGTTTTAAGATTGAATTGACCCAGCATTCAAGGGGTGTTTCCTCTAGTGACTCAGAGTCTCTTGATGGTCAAAACCTATTTCCTCTTCATCCCTTTTTCCTTCCATAGTCAAATTTCATTGCTATTAAGAAGCCTATCATTTCCTATGGCAGCATAGTTTTAAACTTAGTAAATTAGATGCATCTTCATCATTTTTCTCATGTTTACCAGTTGTATTTTTAATGGAGAGCCCAATATTGGAATTACCTGAAAATATATTAATTTAGAACCTCTACTAATAACAAATAGCTTAGAATCAAGAGAATGATTTATACTATAAAATGCCAACACTGGAGAAATGAAAAATTCTGAAAGACTTAAGAACTCTGATCAATACAATGATCAACAAGGATTGTAGAGGACCAGTAGAGAGGAATTCTGCTCCCTTTCTGACCGAGAGGTGAGATACTCAACATGCAGATGGAGACACATTTTTTTAATGGGAATTTTTGCTTGACTATGGTAATTTTTTATAGGGAGCTCCTTTTTCTTTTTTTTTTTCCAGTGAAATGAGGAGAAAAGAATCTAAATGCATAATAATTGAAGAAAATGAAAAATAACAAATAGACTTCATTATGTAAGTAATAGAGAGATCTATTTGAAAGAAGGTCATTCCAAAGTCGTGGTTTCAAGGACTACTTAAGTTTATCCAGTTCCATGAACCCAGAATGGGCTTTTTGACCTTACTAGCCATTTTATGGGTACACATGCTTTGTAACAAAAAAAGACCAAATGAAAGCTCAGGGTCTAAATCTCATATTAGAAAAATACTTCAAAAAAATCATGGGCGTGATAGAAAAAAGCCCTGAACTGTGAGAGAGGAATATCTGCTTTTTAGTAGTGGATCTACTGCTAATTAGCTGCGTGATCTAGGGCAAGTCATTTCCCTTCCTCTGACCCTCATTTGCTTGCTTGTAAGCTGATGAGATTGGGCATGATGACTTTGAGAGGTTCTTCCATTTTTAAGATCCTCAATTGCTGTGACTCAGATTCTCTCTCCTTCTCTTCTCACTGGGCAGGAACCTTGTCTAGATAGTGACCCTTAGCTTCTCTTCAAGCTTTAAGATCTCATAATTCAGTGAAATTTCTCCCTCCACCAAATCTCTGCTCTGATACCTTACGTTGTCAAGTTGACCTTTGGTTTTTGAAGACTAAGTTTTCTGAGCACAAAGTCTGACAGGGGCTCCTAAAATGGAAAAGTCTTCAGGTATAGACCCAACTGCAGGCATCTATCACCTGAAGACCAGACTAGGCAAGGTTGTCTATAAAGTACTTTTTATTTTTTTGGTCATATTTACTTAAGAAATTTGACTGAAGGTATGAAACAGGGTTGCTTTTGCTATCTGCATTGGTGGGGGACTGTACCCATAGATGAAGTCATCAGTGTTTGAAATATTGAAGGAAATATGGCATTCTCTTCAGAAACTGGGATTTTATGTGTTTCGTGAATATAAAAGAGTTGAGACATTTTGTGAATTGTAAATTTATGTAATTAATCTCTGGGTCTGCAATTTGGGGTTTTTACTTTGTGATTGTGGCAGCGATTCATTGTATTACAGTTTATCCAGAGCGTCTAAATCATTATGTTGTTATCTTCACAACTCTACAAGGCAGGTAAAAATATTTTAAACCCCATTTGACAGAAAAGGAAACTGAGGCACAGAGAGGTTATATGACTTGCCCAAGGACATAAATCCATTAAATGACAGAAACAAGAAGAGCCCAGATTTCAGAAAGATCCAACTCTCTTTTTTATCATATCACTTGCAAACTTCTAAATGGGTTGTAAACATTTTGAATAAAAAGAAAAGTGGACCAAGCACAACCCATTTTAAATAGTATTCTGGGGAATTGGAGATTATTAGAAGACCACCTTGAATTTGCTTGCTAGACCATTTCTTTAAATTTCTGAGATATGAAAGATATCATAGATGTCAATTATATTTAACCTATGAACTTTCAGCAACTTGTAACTTCCCATCATGATCAAGTATTAAATGAGACTTCTAAAGTTCAACAGAAACAAGTGAATTTATAGAAATTTCATGGGAGGTAAGCAAAACTTCTCTTGCAGTGTGATATTTAAGTGGGAGTTTATAATCTAGACTAAACATTTTCCCTTACGGTCATTTCTGTTTAATCATGTGGTGCTTTTAAGTAATAACCAATTAGTTCATTTTTCCCATGGATCTCCATATGTTAGAAATTTGGCCCAGTAAGGCCCAGGAAGTGGAAATCAGTACCTGGAATCCAGGGAGCTCAGCAGCTTCTCAAGGTTGCAAGGATTAATGAGAATTCAGCAAAGCATTTAGGTAGCCTAGCCGCCACATGAGACGAATCTCATTATTTCAAATTCGTAACAAGATAACTTTAATTATATATTGGTAACCTGGTTCATGTGAAATGTCTTTTTATTTTTTTCCTTGGACTTAGGAATTTTAACGATGCCAAATGTCACCTTTAACTGGAACACATTTCTGCAAAGTACAGGTAATGTATTAACTCTTTTTGTAGGGTTTTTCTCAAAATCCCTATGAGTAAATCTGTGTCCCTACACTGTAAGCTTATGTTAAGCAGCGTTTGAGATAAGGAAACCTGGTTCTTACAGGTAGGAGAGGAATTAGGACATCAGTGCTTAAGGGACATAATCCCCTCTCCATCCATGGGGGCCTGGATTAGAGCCAGACAGGAAACAATCCTAGCCTCTCTTGATTCCCTGAGATTTCACTAGTTGCTTCAGGGATGGGGGTCCAAAACAGGAGGGGAGCAGCGGAACAACTATGGCTCTTTCTAACCTGGGGGCTGAGGAATCACTTGGAGAATTTCCTTCAGCTCTCTTTTCCCCTTTCATCTTTTTTAGAGGCAGACTCTTTTCTCCTGTGTGCTAACTGAACCTGAACAGTGAGATACAAGCAAATAGAGTCAAGGTGTTTACATTATTCTTTAAAAAAAGATCACTATAAATAAGTGGGTTCTTTTATTTTTTTTAATAACCAATAGCTCTTAGTTACATTTTATTTGGATTATGCATGCCTCACAGTTGTCCTAGAGATGTGAAATTAGCAATGTTGTTAACAGCCAAGGAGTTAAACTTGACTTTGATTGTATCTTTTTTTTTTTTTGGAGGTAATTGGGGTTAAGTAACTTGCCCAGGGTCACACAGCTAGTTAGTATCTGAGGTTGGATTTGAACTCAGGTTCTCCTGTCTTCCAGGGCCAGTGCTCCATCCACTGCACCAACCTAGCTGCCCCTTAAACTTGACTTTGAACATGTAATTCGAGTTATAAAACTCTACCTATATGCTAACACCGTCTCCACCCCCCCTCCAACCTTCCCCCAATTTTCTTCTCTAGAGATTGCAAATCAGAACTCATACCAGCTGGGCAAAAGGTGATATCTAATGAGGATGAAAGTTAAACTGTAAATTCTGTTTCTGGGCCTGCACCCACTTTAAATGCACTCATTTCAAATTAAATAGTCTTCACGCCTCAACATTGGAAACCTACATCACATGCTACATGAGAATATAATGTTTCATCAATAAGAAAAATCCTTCGTCATTTTTGGACAGTTCTGGTTTCAGATTCCAGCCTCTGTTACCTCTTGACTCTGGGCTTCTGTTTTCTCATTTACAAAATGAAAGGGTTGGGCTAGATTAACCTGTGGTCACTTCCAGTTCTAAATCTATGGTTCTATGATCCTCTGATTAGAAATCATTTTAGTAGTACATTCATCAATTACATGAATTACAGTAGCTTCTGCTCTCAGCATTACAAAGTGCCAACATTACTTAACTTCTTGGTCATGTCAGTAAATGTGTGTCATCACTCAAGCCTCACATGCTCATTTTAAATTGATCAGTATGGTGTGTTCTTTTTTTTTTAATGTAAATAGTATTTTTATTTTTTTCGATTACATTTAAAGACAATTTTCCACATTCATTTTTTAATAAGATTTTGAGTTCCAAACTTTTCTCCCTCCCTCTTTCTCTTCCCTCTCCCCAAGATCACAAGCAATCTGATGTAGATTATACATGTGCAATCATGTAAAATGTATTTCCACATTAGTCATGTTATGAAAGAAGAAACAGAATAAAAGGGAAAAAAAACCATGAAAAACACAAAGTGAAAATAGTATACTTCAATCTGCATTCAGATTCCATCACTTGTGGTGTGTTCTTAGAACACAATAGCAACACACTTAAGGTAGCTATTCCCCAAAATAGAATAACTCATTATCAAATCCTGTAGTCTTACTTTGGATTGTCTCTGAGCATTGCTGTTCAGTAATTTAAAAAATAGCTAAGATATTAAAAAGCCGCTTTAGAAAATATTTTCTCTTGGGATGTGTTGGATAAAACATGATCTTAAACATCTGTTAGAGTGAAATTTCAGATTTATTTAGAACATTTAGACAAGAGGAACTTATCTGAATTAGCATCCTATCTGAGCCTGCCTGGTAATAGTTTGGAAACAGCTGTAAGCTATTCTGGCTAGTGGTTTTTACAACTACATGACTTCCTCTAGTCTTTCTTATCAGTCATTGATGTATTTCAGACTCTGGAGATGATGACCTGGGTGTCTCCTCCATGTTCTCCATCATTCCCAAGCCACAGAATGTTGATAAGCTTTCCAGTTGTAGCGCGTACTTTGGGAATGTCACTTCCAGTTGATACTTCAGACAACGTAAAAGGTAGATGTCGTTAAAAGTCCAAAATTAGCAATTCCTCTTACTAGAAAGTTGGCTATTTCTTTGTTTTTTTGCTAGACAATGGGGTTGAGTGACTTGCCCAAGGTCACACAGCTGGTAAGTGTCTCAGAGTCTGGATTTGAACTCAGGTCCTTCTGATTCTATGGTTGGTGCTCCATCCACTGCGCCACCTAGCTGCCCCAAAAGTTGGCTATTTCTAGGGCAGAATTCTTGGGAAATATTAACAATTGAGAAGTCCAGGCAGAAGGAAAAGGGAAATACCTAGCAGAATGATGCCTAGTATAATGAGAGTGGGTGTTTGGCCATAAGTCATGGTTTTTAATTGTATGTCCTTTAAACATCTGTCTCCAATTTTATATTCCCAGCTTTTAAATTGTCTTATGTTTTCCTATTTCCTTCCTTAGGAAAATTATTTTAAAAATTATTGGTCCATAAATATATAAAATATATACATACATATACATCCACATCCTGCCATTGATAACAAATATAAGACTTGATATTTGTTTAAGGATTAAATCACTTTGCCTAGGCTAAATGGATCCTGCCTATCAGTGCAGAACACAGTAACTACCATTAAATTAAGAACCAATAATGCAGGTCAGGTGTCCTTACTACGAATTCTCATGGGATACTTTTACTAGCTGTGCTCATCAGAAGATCTATTTATAGACATTAAAGTAATTACATGTTCCCTAGAACGTTTCCCTTTGGAATGCCTATAAATCCTGCATGGTGTAACAGCTCTATATTTTCCTAATGGACTTTTTTTGTTTGTTTGGTTGTGAGGTTTTTTTTTCTTTTCATTTCAAACACACTTGATGGAAATGAATTCATGATGGCTTCTTGACAAGTGGACTGATTTAAAGCACCAAGAACTATAATGGATTGTAGTAGAATAGACTACTCTTTTAGTTTTTCCCTACGTTTTTCACTTTGGGAGCTCATTTGCCTAACTCTTGTTGTGACTTCCTTAGGTGCTTGATATTTTTGTTTGTTTGTTTTTAGGCAGTTGGGGTTAAGTGACTTGCCCAGGGTCACACAGCTAGTAAGTGACAAGTGTTTGGTCTGAGGCTGGATTTGAACTCAGGTCTTCCTGACTTCAGGGCCAATGCTCTATCCTCTGTGCCACCTAGCTGCCCCAGGTGCTTGATATTTTTTAAAAATTGATTTTTTTATAGGATCATGGATTTAGAGCTAGAAAGAGATGGAACTTAAAGGTCTTTGAATGCACTGATTAAACTGGGACCTAGAAAGGGAATAAGCGACTTGCCTAAATTTTTGTTGTTTCTGTTGTTCATTTGTTTTTCAGTTGCATCTGACTCTCTGTGACTCCATTTGGGGTTTTCTTGGCAAAGATACTGGACTGGTTGCCACTTCCTTTTCCAGCTCATTTTACAGATGGGGGACCAGAGACAAACAGGGTTAAGTGACTTAGCTAGTAAATGTCTGAGGCCAGATTTGAATTCAGGTCTTCCTGACTCCAGGCCCTGTGCTCTATGCGCTATGGCACCACTACCTAGCCACTCAAGTTACCCAGAAAGTAAGTGGCAGAGACAAGAATCAAATCCAGGTTGGTCCACTCCTAATCCAGGGCACTTTCCACTGGACCACAGTATTATTTTTCTATTAAAAACCCAGGTTGTTTTTAGGTGGTGAGTGGCTATTACGTGGCCTTGTTACAGTTTCCCAAGGTGACACTACTTAGGATAGATTCTCAAATCTATGTGTTCTCCATTTCAAACTCAGTAAAAATGACATGTTTTGCCTGGAGTACACGAAGTTTCTTGTGTCCTTGTAACAGTATGTCAAGTTATCTACAGAATCAAAAACCCAGAGAGAACGCTGGGTACAGCTTCCAGGGGGAAAGTCGGCTCCAGTAAATTTCTGTTTATGAAATTGACTTCTAAGTCATTCCCCATCTAACAGGCAACTTGATTTGGGGCCAGTTTGTATGGGCCTAGGTAGACCTGTGAGTTTTATTTTTGTATTTTTTTGTAATTCAGAGATTAATTTTAGACTCTAATATTCTCTTGGCTGGTGACTTTAATGTGTTGGCAATAATTTTTTTTTAAAGTATATGAAAGACAAAATCTGCATAGAAGAGAGACAGCAAAAGGGAAATGATTAGAAAGCATTGCAACATTTAATTGGATCACATAACTGACAAATATTGCATCATTAGACACTGGCATAGTGACCAAAGTAGAAACTTGGCACTATGCAGGGAAAACTCTGAGGTTCCAAGAGGGTTATAGAGAGTCAGTAATAATGATATGAATACTCATGTATCTAATGCTTTGTGGTTACCAGTTGTTTTCCTGCATACATAAGCTCATAGAACAAAGAAATATGTCATTCACATTTTGAAGGTAAGGAAACTCTACTTAGGTCAAATAACTTGCCTATATTTATGCCACCAGTGCTGGTGGAGCCAGGACTGAGGCCCCAGTCTTTTTTATTCTAAGTCCAGTGCCAACAGGCAGTGCAGTGTATTGAAAACAACACATGACTGAGCATCTTTTGCTTTCAAAAAATACTTGGTACAATGACATGTTTGATGATTATTCAGGAATGAAATGATGTAGCATTCCCTTCACTCAGACTATAAGAGAATGTTTTCAACTGCCAGACTCTTTGTTGAGACCAACCAGCCTAACTTTAGAGGCTGATAAAACTCTCTAGGATCAATGGACTCTCTTGAAGAGAAAAATACCATTCTCCAGCAAATGGTAATCTGTGAAAGAAACTTATAGATGTGTAAGTGATGAATTGAAACTTTGAGAAATGAAAAAAATACATTCAGGAAAAATATATCTTGTTATAGTTTGAAATGAATTGAAGAAATAGAATCAGATAAGTTATTCAGCCTCTCTCAGTACAGGCTGTTTTAGTTACTTTCTAAATAAAAAGAAATGACATGAATGAGTTTTCTTAGAGCTCGATTGGATCTTAGGGACTCTAGGCTATAATTGCAAACCAAGGATTGTACGCATTGATGCCCAAATCAAGGAAGCTTAAATGCTTCGGCAGCTCGATCAGGATTTTCCAATCACTATCTTGATTTTTCTGAAAATGCTGCATATGTATCATGAGACTACTCAACTTGAATCAAAAGTAATGTTTCTGCATTTGTTAAGTTTAATGCAAAAAAGCCTCACCACTACTATTTGTATTTATTCTTTTAAGTAAAAAAAAAAAAAGATGGCAGGTAGCGTTTCTTCTAATTTCAATTCCTATTCAGATGTCCAGTTTCATTATCCTTTTAATTCTCTCTTCCAATAAAGAGCACACTAACTACCTGGACAGGAAGACCTGTAAAGCATGGGATAGGCTGTGACCCATATAATAACTCTCATCTAATCTATTGGGAGAGGGAGGTAGTCCAACTACCTTTGCAATTGGTTTGATGGGGTTGACGTTGAGGACATGTCAAAAACTCACTCAGCTAGCCAGATGTGCTCAAGGGTGCAGGCTTGGGATTTTGGACCTAATAGGGCCAAGCAACTAAGCCTTCCTTGCCATCAGGGAAGGGAGATTTCTCTTTCCTATCTTTATGTCTGAGTTTAAGGTATACATGTGCTGTAGACCCTTCTCATATTTCCTCTATTAGCGATAAGAGGTTTCTTTGGACCCTGATGTATGTGTGTTTCATTTTCTTCATGAAGATAGAGGGTGAGTAGAATGAGAAAACAGAAATGTTAGGTTTTTATTTTTTCTCGTACATAGTAACATAGCCAAGTATATTAATTTTAATATATTAATGTATAATGTGTGATATGAAATATTTATTCATTCTGCCACCACTGTCGAAAATTTTCCATGTATAAACACTGATAGTTCTGCTCTGCCCCAAATTGACCAAGACTTGCTTAGACCCTTCCCTGCCTTTTGTATCTTTGAGATTGTCTTCTGCCCTTATTACCTATTAAGGAGAGATGATTGTTTTTTATATCCCCAAATCCAATTGATACATGATTAATTTTGTTAAACTGACTAAAAATTATCATCAAGCCTCCATTTTTATGTCAATATCCAAGGAGTTCAGAGTAGGGGGAAAATTTATACAGTGCAATCCTGTAGAGACAGAATTCAGGATCCCAATTGAAACATCAATACTTAATAGAGCAACTGTGTACTGTGAGAACAGTTTAGGCTTTTTTTTTTCCTCTTCAAAAGGTGACTTTTGTAAGAAATTCATCTCAGCTTCACATTTGAATAAAAAATAGCAGCAAAGCTGGTTATGAATTAATTTTTTTTTTTTTAGCTTTTGTGCTTTGTCAGAGTAGTTTCAATAGCCTTGATTAAATTCCAAAGCAGATGTATTCACCCTGAAGACTGAAAAGCAAAGAGAACATTTATTTTGTGGATCATGAGTGCAGGGAAAATTAAGTTTTGCCGAGAGAGAAACGATAGGAGATTGTCCTGATTTCAGGGCCAAAAAAAATGGTCATTATAGTGATCTTTTTTTGGTATGTATTTTAAAGGTCAATTATGGAGGATTGTGGTATCCCAATTAAAAAATCTGAAGTTTTAATTTAGTTTATATTAAAAATGCCAATAATGTCAGCCTGAAATGGAATCTTTCATCCAAGCATTCAGTACATCTTTGTCTTTTTGTTTGATTGTGTGTGGATATACTTTTGTGTACCTGTATAGGTGAATAGGCAGTACTTTTTTGATACTAAAATTACAGGACTATAGAATCATAGATTTAGATCTGAAAAGGACCTCAAAGGTCATTTGGCCTTGGGTCTTCTTTTAGAGGTGAGGAAGCTGGGAGCCAGAGAGACTGAGTGACTGAGATCACACAGGTAAATAAATGACCTAGCTAGAAGGGGAGAGTGACATCTCTTCTCTTCTTACTTCCCGTTCTCAAAAAAAAAAAAAAAGATTCCAGTCTTGCTCTCTTGGGTGATTATCCATTTCCTCTATTTCATTTCTTTCCATTTTTCTCAGCCTTAGTTCCGGGCCTGTTAATTTGGTCCAGTGGCAGAGGGTCGTTTGTGTGTGGGCAGAGTGTGTCTTGGGTAAATTAGGAGAGGGAAAAGGAGGAAGGAAGAGAGTTATGTTGAAATGCCTTCTGGTTCCTTTGTTATGTGTAGAAACCTGTGGGTGAGAAGGGGAGGGGCTTGGGCTGGCTTGGGTAATGCAATTGACTAACTTCTGGGTCCTCTAGAAAGGAATGATAGACAATGTCCAATGGAGTGAGGCAGAACCCACAGATTCAGAACCTGTTTTAGCTAACCCTTTTCATCCACCCGGGTTAGCTCTTTGCTCATCATAATTCCCACCCTGCTCCTTACCCTGAAGCTCCCATCTCAGCTTTCAAACTCCTGCACCCCAGGCTTTCCAGAATAGAATAGAGGAGTAACTATTTCCAGTACCCTAAGTGGGATAGCGTCTAGGAAAGGGGGCAGGGTGGCGGGGGCAGTTCCTGTACTCATAACAAAAGGATATAGCATCGTTGCATCTTAAATTGGAACATATTTCCTTACAGAAATTCCCTTTGGTTAGGTAGCTGCTTTATGGGTTGTGGAGGTTTCTAAGAGCCTGCTTGGAATTTTGACCATTATTTTTAAACACGGCTCTATCAGAAAGAGACAGCATGGTATAGTGGATAAAGAGTTGGTATTGAGGTAAGGGAAACTCCTGCTATATACTAGCTTTGTGATCCTGGGTAAGTCACTTAATGTTTTGGTCTATTGGGCAATTCTCTAAGGTGAGAAGGTGCAGACCTGCATTGGTGGAGTTTCCTTACCTGGGAATTCCCTCTACCAATGAAATTACAGGTCCAGTTCCTGTCCTATGGGAAAATGCATTTGAGGTTCTGAATAATTGACTTAACAATGAACTCAGAGTACATCCTTTATGCCCTGTTCATAAACTGGAGGCTGCCTTTCTATTATACAAATCTGGTTTTTTTTGTTGTTGTTTTTGTTTTTTTAACAAATGATACCTATCTAAGCAGGCCAAATTAAAGAAATGTTCAGAATGTATTCTTTGAGAAATAATGAGGCTCATGGAGGGGTGATGGGGGCAGGATATGGGGAAAATTTAGGTGATGCAAAAATAAAATATATATAAGTAAAAATATTAAAAAAAAATAACTAAGGTCAGTTCTCCCCTTCCTCTTCCTCCTGTCCCTGAACTCCATCTTCTCCAGCATGGAGGACACCAACCTGTGCACCAGACAGACCAAGCTTGCAAATTGGAAGAGGGACAGGGCCCAGCAAAATCCGACCTAGAAGCAAAAGACCAGTGAAAGACTAGTGAGGGCCAGTGAAAACTCCGAAGCCACCTCCTTGCTATAACTTTGTGCATATATTCCTTGGTTTTAAAGATATTTTACATGGGGAGGAAGTTGCTCTCTTTTCACAGTGATGAAAATGATCCAAATGTTCTGTTGCAGAGATCAACCAAAGTGCAGATAATTTGCACATCTTTATTTTGATATGCGGGCTTAGACGAGTCAAAGATCCTCTTTATTTGGTGGACGCTTTCTCAGGTAGGTTTCTTACAAGTATATTCCTCCTGTTCTTTTGTTTGTAGAAATCTAGTTGGATAAATCTCTTGGTGTTTCCAATATACTACCTGCTTTTTATACTCGGGGGAATGCACTCACCCTTCTCTCTGTAAAGGGAGTAAACAGCAGGACTCCCTGGTCTGCTCTGGCTAGTACAAGCTCCATGGAGTGCTGAGAGCCCTGACTTCTTCTGGGGAAACAGTCTGCTCTGATGGACGTGACACTTTCCCTGATCATTGATTCAGTGGCCAGGTCTCTCTGATGTAGCTTTGACCTGAGTACCCAATCCTTTAGAATTGAGCAGAAGTGACCCCAGAAGTGATCTTGGCACAGGCCCAGAACTCCACAACGTGTGAACCAACCAGAGGTGGGGGGAGGGGGGGTCTTTTTAATCTCATTGCACGTGCAGGAATAGAGTTTTCCCTAAAATAATGATGACTAGTATTTCAAGGGGAAGAAGGAATGTTTGATGATTGGGGAAACTCATTGGATCCTTTCAGATCTTCCTTAGGTTTTTTTTTCTGTCAATTTCACTTAGGAAGAAAATAGTAAAATCAACAAACAAGTAACAAAGATAATTTTACATATGACCAAAAATGCCTTGACTTACAAATATTTGATGTTGACAGTAATCTTCTGTAGACTTTGTAGTTTAGTGATCTTAAAACATTCATTATTGAATGACAAGAATATCAATAATTTTCAGCTAAATTTCCCATCGTCATTGTGTTTTAAAGGGATAACTAGAATTACTTTTTTTTCAGTAAAATTTAGGTTTTACATGAGTATTGCAAAAGATCTATAAGAGGTAACTAAATATTTTTGTGTTTAAAAGCATAAGACAATCTCACCATTCATTTTGGATGGGAGCGGGGATTGAGTTCTAGAAATTCTTTGGGGTCAAACAAATTCTCAAATATTTGGTTCTAACTCGGTACTTACAGTGGGTTTAATACTTTCCATGGTGCCCACTTTCTCTTTAGCTCTCTCCTTATTTTCCAGCTCTTTCAGTTATTAAAATTATATCAGAGAAATTGCCTCAATTAGGGGCTAATTTATCTTTAATACTGCTAATCATTTAACCAGAAAATGTGCCTTGGGTTTGTTCCTTGAGTCATCTTTAGGCAGCAGGAAAACTACTGAGCAAGAGAGCTGGGGGCTGAGTTAAATCCTTGTCAAGGTACAGAGTAAATATCCAAAGTCACAATCAAGCAACCAAGCCATCATTCACCAAGTATCTATGTGCCAAGTACTGTGCTGGGTGTGAGGGATATAGCTTAAAAAATGAGGAGTCCCTGCACTCAAGAAACTGACATTCCACTAAGTGGGTACCACCCAACAACAAGTGATAGCCAGGGAAGGAAGAGAACTTTTGTTTAGTCAGTCACAAGAATTGTAAGTGGAACTGCATGTAGTTACCCCCGTTCCAATAGCAGTTGTGATATTGGTTATTCCCAGAGTAAGGGTGTGATATTTAAAAAGTGTGAGAGACATAGTTTCTGTGTAATTTTTAATCATCTTATTAATAATGCTAGCATGTTAATAGAAGAGGTCAGTGGCACTCTCAAGTGTCAAAGACAACCCTTGGAAAAGTGGGTGTTTCAGAGGCTGGCAATCAACCCTGATTGGTTGACAAGTAATGAGAGAGAATGGATATTACAATGAGGGGCTGGGCTATATTCCAATGACGGTCTTGAGGTATGGGTCAATGAGCACCCAAATCTTGGTCAAAGAGACTTATCAATTTCCGTGTTACCTGTCTGACAAAAGAGAAAAGCCATTTTTTCCTAGGCTTGATTGAGCAAACACAATGAGCAGGAATCCATCCATTTGCTTAAACTTAAAGTTTCTTTTTAATTTAAATTTAAAATTGCTGTCTTTGATTAGATCTTAGCTTTCCTGGCTGGGTAAGTTTTTGAGCAAAATTTCCCACAGTGGTTGATTTCTGGATGAGAAAGTAGAAAAGGGGCAAAACCTTGCTCCTAATTCAATAATTAATCATTCAATACAATAGAAAAATAATACTTTCTGCCAAGGGGAAATGGTAGGGCAGGACGAATGGAACATAAGTGTGGAGAAAGGGCAGATTGCATGATGCCCCTTATTGCTTAGACTGCTGTCCTGGTGAGTGGCCTGAGGAAGTGAGCATGCTGCTTTGGGTTCTAGAAATAGAAGACTGAGGTAAGACTGACACTCACGCTCCAGACTGGACAGCTGTACCCAAATCTTGAATCTTTGAGTCTGAAGGATTCCCTCTGTAGTTAAAGTCTGCTGGGTATTACATGTTTGATCATGTCAGGGCTATGGTGTGAGCAAGTGTGAAAAAGATATCTTTCGCCTTACACAATCAGTATGTATAAACAGGGAAAAAATGTTATCATGATGCTCATTTTCCCATTGGTTCAACATAAAATTGGAGCTGGGTTTCCACGTAATAAAGTGAATGGTCTAGAATGTTGTGGAAAAAGTGAAAAAGACGGTCAGTCTTTAGGATTGTTGAGTATTTTGCAGGACTGTTGGTGTTCTGTATGGTAGGAGTACCTTGCATTACATTCCTCCCTATGACCTATTTTGGGTCTGCCTTACAATCTTTCTCTAGACTGTGAGAATCCCCCAGGCAGGGGATTCCTCCCAGAAATGAGCTCACCAGGTTCCTTTGTCTGAATATTGACAAACCCTTGTAGAATTAGCTGCAAGCTAACATTCTCTCATAGAATACATGACATGTCACTACCTGAAAATCACTTGAATTTACAGTTTTCAGTTCTGTGAGACAAATTGCCACATTATTTAATTGTGTAAATTTCAAAATCTGGAGTATTTGCTCCTTTATGAAGGATGGCAGTACTTTCATTTCAAGGGTTACTGACAAAACAGATGCAAGAGAATTAAAAAAAAAGAAAATCACAGGGATTCCTTGAGACAAAACTAATTAATATCTCTGGAGATCTAAATTGAGCTGCTAACATACAGCATTGTGTTTAGCTTCCTTATTAATCTTCAGCTTTAATGATTATAGAAATCATAAGTGATTACAAATTATTTCATTAAAAGCATTAAGGACTTCTACAAGAATCAATTAGAAATAATACCTCCTCTTCTCATAGGAGATGCAAAAATGCAGATATGTAACAATTGTTCACATCTGGAATTTTAATTGAAGAATGGCGTTAGTAAGGAGAGCATATTGTGCATAAAACTATGCTCTTTTACTTTTAAACTAAATTGTGCTAACGTGTACAATTACATTTCTCGATGACTGAGAACCAGTTTTTATTTTTTAATTTTTTTTCGACATTCACTTTTATAAAATTTTGAGTTATGATTTTTTTTTTCCCTCCCTTCCTGCCCTCCCGCCTCCCTTTTGGGGCAAGCAATATGATATAGGTTATACACGTACAATCATATTAAACATATTTCCACTGAGAACTAATTTTTTAAAGTTTCTTTTCTTTTTCTTTTAAGAATGGCACCGAGAAGAGCCCAATGTTTACATGGTTATTGTGGGACCTGAAGTAAGTTGATATGTTTATAAATTACAAGCCATCTTATTTGGATGAATGAATGAAAAAGCATTTAATAAGTGCCTACTATGTGCCAAGCAATGTGCTAAGTACTGAGGATGCAAATAGAAAAAAAAAATGAGAAAGTCCCTGCTTTGTAGGAGCTCCCTCTCTTATTGGGAGATACAGCATAAAATACATTTCAGCTGGAGGGTGGATGCTAATGCCCAAGTGTCTTTAGGTTACATCCGTAGGTCAGGTAACAGTACCAAGGATATTTAGGGCTTGTTGTTCAGTTATTTCAGTCATATCCAACTTTCCATGACCCCATTATAGGGTTTCCTTGGCAAAGATACTGGAGTGGTGTGCCATTTCCTTCTCCAGCTCATTTTACAGATGAGGAAGCCTAGGTAAACAGGGCTATAGATGACTTGCCCAGGGTCACACAGCTAGTAAGTATTTGAGGCCAGCTTTGACCTCCTGACTCCAAGCCTAGCATTCTATCTGCTGAGCCACCTATGCCTCTTACGGGCACAGAGGCCAGCATATGATAAGGCCTGGTAGTTTACCTTCTTACTAGAATTAATAAGTTGGTGACGCCTAGATTGCCTGGAACTGTCTACCTTTACATTCTTACCTAATGCTACTATTCCCCTCTATATCTTCTATATATCAGATACACTGGACTATATCCCCTGTACATATCCAGCACTTAGCACAGTACCTGGCACATAGTAGGTGCTTAATGCTATTGATTGACTGGCTTCCCTACCTTCTTGAGCCTTTGTCCACATCGTTCCTTAGGCCTGTAGTTCCCTCCCCCATTTCTGCCTGTTTAGATCCTTCTAGGCCCAACTTAAATACTTCTTCCATGAAGCCATCCCTGATTCCCATAGTCAGAAATTATTCTGTGCCCTCCTCTCAAATGAAGCAGCATTTCGCATTGTTTGCATTGCATTTTGTTCTTCTCTTATGTCCTTACCATGATAGAATTTGTATTACAGTCATTTGTACTTCTTCATTAGGTTAGGAACTGCGTCTTGTTTAATCTGTCTCTCTTTCAGCATCTAGCCTCTTCTACCCTAGACAATGGGAGAGATACAAAGCTTAAAGAAGAATTGCATAAGAGCAAGAATATTAAGGAGATCAGAGACACGTAGGCCTGGACAAGGCAGGGGGTTGCTCATGCAGCAAGACTGGGTGAATCCTCCGAGGTCAGGCTGCATGCTCCATTATTATCCATGCAAAGATCTGAAGGTCTAAAGGAAGACCTAGTGTAGACTTCCATACAGGATTAATGGGAGTTAGTGGACTAAGGGGGCAGAGGGTGAGATGGTACCTATAGGTCACACTCTCTTTCATCGGAAGGAGCACCCACACCACTGGAATCATGGATCCACTGAGGCAGCAAAACATGTTCTGATATTTATCACAATACTTTACACTGTACATTGTGGACCTGGGGTGTCACTGAGGTACAAATGCCCTGCACTGACATAGACCGTGACTCCTTTTCAACCTGGGAGAATTGTCTTTGAAAATCTCTTTGGCTAAAATAAATCATCACTTGAGGCCAACCTGATTTTTGAGACTTCTTGAACTTAGCCAGATGACACACAATCTGTCTCAGGGCCTGTAAAGGAAGCCTTTTCACCTTGGTGGAACCTGCCAAAACTTGAGAACTTGATATCTCTCTTATGCTGTGACCAGGCATGGAAGTAGCACTTTAGTGGGGGATTCTCGACATAGTAAAGGCAGAGTTGAGTTGAATTATAGTTGAACCCAACCAGTAGTAGATTTGTATTTTTAAATGATTTATTATCCAGTGCTATTCTTTGAGATAAAGTTATGTAGAAGAAGTATTTGACCTGAAGAAGGAGATGGAATTGTGGCGATTCGTAAGGATTCAAAATTGTGGAGAAGGCCAGACACTGAATTTGGGAAGGTGAATTTGAGAGGACTTGAGGACTGATTGCAAGAGAAGAGAAGGGTTGGAGCAGAAGGAGAAGGTGAATAACTTGAGATGGAGATGAGGAGCAGAAGGCAGAAAAGAATTCAGGGAGGATAACGAGGAAAAAGACTCAAGGAGAAGATAATTGGTAAGAGAAGAAAGACAAGTTGGTGAGACAAACAAGAAGTTAATAAGAGAAGTCAGGAGTACCTGTTGAGGTGAGATAGAATTGACATCCCACTATTGAATTAACTCTAATGACTTCCAAAATAAAATATAAAATCTGACTTTTAAAGCCCTTCATAACTTGACCTCACCTACGTTTCCAGTCTTCTTGCACCTTACTCCCTCCATATACTGTGAGATCCAGTGACATTGGCTTTCTTGATGTTCCTCACACAAAACGCTCCATCTCTCTTATTTGGACGTTTTCATTGGTTGTTCTCCATGCTTAGAACACTCTTCTTCCTCATTTCTGCCTCCTCACTTCCCTGACTTCTTTCAGTTTTCAACTAAAGTCCCACCTTCTATAAGAAACCTTTCCCAGTCCTCCAAAATCTTGGTGCCTTTGATGTCTTTCTCTGATTTATCCTAGACACTGTGTCTTATTTGTCCGTAATTGTCTGCGTGCTCTCTACCCCCTTAGATGGTGAGCTCCCTGAGAGCAGGCATTGTCTTTTGCTTTTCTTTGTCCTTCCCATATCACTTAGCACAATGTCTGGCACGTGGTAGGTACTGTCAGTGCTAGTTGGCTGACTTGACAGCTTTGAAGACTTCTGACAGCAGAATGCCTTAACCATCTTCCAGGGAACTTCTAGAGAGAATGACCTAGGATTGAGGATTTCACTTCTGGTAAATATGGAGAGCAAGGATAATTCTGCAGTAACTTGCATAATATTTGTATCTCTGCCATGTTCAGGTAACTTTCATCTATACTCAAAATGCAAGCTTGTCTTCCTGTTAGAAGAAAAGATAAAAGGAGTTTGAAGAATGCCTTTCCACTTTCCTTGTTATTAGGAAAATGAATTCCTTAAAATACACGCACGCGCGCACACACACACACACACATACACACACAAATGATCTTAGTGTATAAACACAGAAGAAAAAAGATGAAAGAGAGGGAAAGTTTGACTTATGTCAAAAGATCATAGATTTAGAGTTGGAAGGGCCCTTAGTGGTCAACATATCTGATACCCTCCCCCTCCCCATTTTACAGATGAGGAAACTGGGACCCAGAAAAGTAGAGTAATTTGGCCAAGGACACAGGTAGTAAGTGGCAGAGCCAAGATTCGAACCCAGGATCACTGACTCCTAATTGAGTCCTTTTTCACACTGCTAGGCAGTCCGAGAATCATGAAACTTTAAAAGAACTACAATCTAAGGCATTATAGAATCTGATTAATTAAAGGAAACTGAGGGGTCCTATGTACTGAATAAGAGTTAAGATTTGTAGATTACAGTAATAATAACTCACAGTTAATGCAAAGTTGTGATTAATGCAAATAATGAATCCCCTGAAGTGGTAACATTATTCACCTTTGAATAGCATATTTCTGTTGGACTGGGACCAATGACCATATTTCACAAAGTTACATCATCAAATAGTGCGAATTCAAATAGACGCGACCACTTCAAGGGATTCATTATTTGCACTCATCAGGAGCTGGATCTAGTGTACTTTAAAAGACCAAGTGGTAAGTTTGGAGACAGCAGACTGGAACAAAAATTCTAGCGGTTGTTCAGGAGAAAGAACTGTTCCATGTATTAGGAACACTTAACGATTTAGAGCAAATAATTTTCTTTTCCTTGTTATCATGTTGGGAAATGAAAAGTAGTGATAAAACAAACATCTGTCTGTTCATTGTCTTTATACAGAATGCTGCCCTTGGGGATGGGCAGGCTAATGGTCACTGCTCCCATGGGGCCTACTTGGGATAAAACCCAAAGGCAAGGGTAACTGTTAATATAGGAAATAGATCTGATATGACTCGAAAGGGAGCAGGAAGTAGTTCATAGAAAGGCCATTTGTCATATCTAGAGACTTTGCACATATTCCTTTAGATACTAAGTTGAAATTTTAGAAGGTTTTCAGGCAGAATTGGAATTTTCAGTTAAGTCTGTGTTTTTCACAAATTCATGCATCTCTTAGGCAGGTTCATGAGCCGTGCAGATTCTACCAGCCGCCATATCTTGCCCTTTCTCCAACCACAACCTTTCTCATACCCAACTGCCTGCGTCTGCCTTCTCAAAGCCCTCTCTCCTCTGCCTAGTTCCATCTCTGATCACCCCAGAACCAGGACTCCTAATTGTCTGTCTGCCTCAAGTCCTGAATCTCTCTTGTCCACAGCTGCCAAAATGATTTTCCTAAAGTTCAGATCTGAACATGCCTCTCCTCTACTTAGTAAACCCCAGCTGCTATTGATTACCTCAGGGATAAAATATCAACACTTCAGTTTGGCTTTTAAAGGACTTCACAGCTTGGACCCAATCTATCTTTCCAGTTTCTTTTGACGTCACTCCCTCCTTCCCACATTTCATAATAAGCCAAACTGACCCTGTTCTTCACACATGAGGTTTCATCTCCCATCTCTAAGCCATTGTAAGAGCAATCTCCTGTGCCTGGAATTTAATCCCTCTCTTCCTTCAACACACAGCTTAAGCACTGCCTCCTACATAAAGCTTTCCCCGACCACTCACCCTCTCCCCCAACTACTTGGTATTTATTTTATACTTATTCTACATGCAGCCATATTGTAAGGTATATTGTAGATGGTGTATGTTTCTTCTATAGACATATAAAAATGTTGTTTGGTACACAGCAACCACTTTAGAAATGTTGTTCACCTGAATTAAAGGGCCACACTTGAGGACCTAGAGGACTACATGTGGCCTCGAGGCCACAGGTTCTCCACCCCTGTACTAGAGTTAAGAGGGGTTGGGGAAGGCTTCCTTAGAAGGTGGAAATTTTGTTGGAGCTTGAAGGAAGCCAGGGAGGTCTGTGGCGTTGCTTTATGGAGTCTTTCTGGCAGTATCAGTTATGTCCACATGAATCACCAGA